TTGGTGAGAGTTCTGGGCGGATGAATGAGGTATAGGCTGGTGAGCCATCGGCCCAGAGCTGAGGGAAGCCTCAGAACCCCGCGAGTAGCTGCAATGCAGCTGCTCGGTCCAGAACGAATGCCCAGATTACCTACTAGAGGGAAGGCCACGTGATTCTAAGAGTATCCTAAGGTGGTGAAGAACCATCAGTGGACGTAGGGTAATGCTTGGGCGAATAAAAGTGCTGAATGCCTGAACATGACGCACTGAGATGATGAAACGTTAGTGACTGCTGCCAGTGATGCTTCTGATGAAGGCATGAGAGACTGGGAGGAGGAGTGACTTATTAGTGGCTTCAACTACTACGAAGTTATCGCAGTGGGCGGACGCGATTCCTTCCCAAGCCCCACGATGCAAGCTAGCTAGGGTTAGACCTCACACGAGCATAATGGGTGTGAATAAAAGAGGCCATGAACCACCTGTCCTGAAGAACCCCCCAAAACCTACGGATGCAGCATCCGAAAAATTTTGAAGCATGGCAGGAGATAGATAATTTCGACATAGAAAAGAAATTTGTTCCAATTAGAAGCAGTCAGACCAGAGATCCGAACGGCAGCCTACGTTCAGTAATCTGACCAAGGAGAGGGACGGAAATTGCCGGATCAAGCAACTGGGAATGAAAGCGCGGCCTTGAGAAATAGCGCATGGCAAATTAGCTGACCTAGCAAGGAGCGCAATTGGCATTTAGAAATGACTGATGTAGAACATCAGTTTGTGTGTTTTTTTTTTTTTTTTATTTGAAGAAGAAGAAGACAGAACGATAATCAGAAGTAATAATAAGGGGTGGTAAGATGACGGGCTGCTAAGACTGAGGTACGATATATATGAAGCGTGCACGGCGGGGACAGACTGATCGGATGGCCTTCCTGCAGAAGCTCTGAGTAATCACGATAGATGCTGAATGCGGCCAAAATTTGGCCAATAGAAAGATCTCTGGTAGACGGAGATCGGATGATTTAAGAAAAACGGTGACGTCACCTGCTGATCGACTTCAGGGGAGGGAAGAATAAGAGACTAAATTAAAATATTCCCCTGAATAATTTAGAACGAGGCTAGGGAAAATATCAGCATGTGTGTTAATATAAGTATGCCTGATAGAGGCAGACGAAGCATAAGAGCAAACTCAAATAGATAGAAAATTATGAATGAAAACATGGTTGAATACGTCTTACCCTAAGGCTGGCCCAGGGCGGGCGTTCCCTAATGTGAATGAGGGGAGGGGGAGGTCCGTCTGAGCAGACAGCGGCAGGGATGATGTGGCAGTGCAGGGATTCCCACGTTTGGAGCGTGCGGACAGCGTCGAAGGATTGAGTGAGAGAGTCCGGTGGAGCGGAGGGAGGCTGAGAGCTGTTAAACGCCAGAAGGACTAGACGGGGGAGCTGCTATGAATCAGGAAGCTGGAGAAGGTCCAAGGCTGCATCGAAACGATGAGAAGGAGCGGGCGTAGCGGTGACTGCTGCTGGGACAGATCCGGGAGGCCTTCTGCGCCTGGCGAGGGGAGCGGAGGACTTGCATGTCTTTTGCGGCCAGGAATCGGAGCGGATTGAAGCGGAAGGCGAGGGAGATGAATCACGAGGAGGTAGGAGGGAGGCTCGTCAAGACATCTGAGCAGAGTCTAGGTCGGAGCCTGGCAATATACCCTTGGAGTGTAACGTGGAAGAAGGAGATGAGAGCGGCTAGACGGGAGTTTCTCCGAGCGGGGAAAATTGAATTGTCGTCTGGATCGAAATCCGACATTGCGATTGCAGGATAGCGGCTGTGGTGAGATTTGAGGGAGTTTATAAAGTGGAAGCAGGACGCTGATTGGGCTTCGTGGTGGAGTAGTTCAAAGCTGATTGGCTCGCTTTGGAGACGGATCGGCTTCTGATGATGTGAGGTAAGTCAGAGTTTCTTCAATTGAACTTTCGCTAGAGCTTCATTAATTAGCATCAAATACAACATATAACAAAAGTTTAAAAAAACAATCCACTGGACCTTGTTTCCAAGTTTGAAGATGTTTTGCTTCCCATCCAGGAAGCTTTTCAAACTGTCAGAATTAGCGTTGAAGCTTTATAGAGTTGCCCTAAACAAAGCCTTGTTTATGCTTAGAAAACATGCAAATTGAACGGAAGAACAGGTTCGCCCCTTAGAAATGCAATACCTGATACTGGTTTATGCCTGTGAAGGAGGGTTTTTAGGGGCATTGCAGCCCCCAACTCCCAGAGGAGATGTTTTGGTCTCCTGCATGGGGGTTGGGGGCTGAGATGATAGCGGGAAGGAATCAACTCTATTGCTGCGTTGTAGGATTTTGAGAGCTGAAACCTGAGTCCACCCCCTCTGTTTAAGATTGTTTATTCTCTCTTCACAGAAATGGGTCTGAAGGAAGCCATCCTACCTGTTCACCATGTTATTTATGAAGGTATTTTTTTTCTGAATTCCACAACATGTTACCCAGTGCTCAATCTCCCACCTGTGGGCAGACTTACCCTCCTGGAATTAAGCCCAATGAGCTCCTCCTCTTTCAAATTCAAGCCCATTTAAAATAGAAGATGTTAGTAAACCTAGAAAAGTGTAAAAACTATTCTGCTAGTGAAAATATATTCATAGCAATTGAACTTTCCCATATTTTGTCACAATCAGATAAAATAGTAAAAAACTAATAAGTAGTCATTTGAATGATGATAATTTAAAGTTATTTTAAAGAGGAAGGAATATATTGTAAAATGTATAGAACATACCCTATGACTGCTAAATGGTCTTTCTTACACTTTTAACATACTTAACACCAATGAAACATGGTTTAAAGTATCAAATAAGTAAATATCAGTAATCATCTGAGCCAGTTCTTTTGAACCTACTCATTTTTATATTTCTGGCATTTTTCATATTTTTACCTCATGTTTTTATTCTATTTATGTGTTTGATGACCCTTTAATATTGTGTAAAGCCCCTTATATTACCCTCTGTATCAATGTTGAGCTAAATCTACATTGTCTACCTTCTTTTAAAATAGACTTTTAGACTTTCTCAAATAATTAGTTTACATAGTGTTAAAGCTTTGCTTTCTTAGTATTATTAGTACTTTGCATAGCGGTGGCTGCACACAGGGAGCTGTGGGGAAATTATTAAAAAAAAAATTTGTGATAAATGTCAAAGTATCAACAAAACCACCTCTAAAGAACACTCAAACATAGAACTACCCTTTTGAGATGTTTTTGTGTGCACCATGCTCCAATTTAAATGAGCACACAAGATAATAAAAAGCTAATCAACACACACAAAAAAATAACCTCTCTCTAAGATGTCACAGAATAAGTGGGTCTCAGAGGAGACCAGAAAGATGTTCACTGAGGAAAAAAGTTGGCACTTATCTCCAAATCTAATCAGCCACCTGCAGCCTTCTATATTCATTAAAACACTCTGGTTTCAGGTTGTCTACGTAGAGTGACAACAATCTCTCAAATATACAAAATGCTTAAGTAAAAAAGAAGATTTCCTATATTTTTCTATTACATGTGTAAATCGGTTTATTGTTGCGTCTAACAAGCAAGAGGTCCACTTCAGATTGTTTGAGAGATTTCGATGTTAGAATAGCACACAAACCACCTACTCCCAGTGCTTTGCTTAGAAAGACCATACATTGTTTGCTCTTGAGGGAATTAAACATATCTTTTGATTTCATTTTAGTTTTTTTACACATACATAAAACAAGCATCATTAGCTCTTGGTAGTCTGTTTGCTAAATAATTTTTTCTGGATACAGAGCTGCTAAAGGCATGGCTGTCAAACTGTGGTACCAGAGATTGTAAAAGGTTCAGTTAGACACAATTTTTTTTCATTTACTGCGGAACCGACAGCTTGTGAATTTGAATCATTGGTGAGACATGAGGGTTTGATCCAACTGAGCCATAATCAGGACACACAGGGAGTAATCTTCAGGTTTAATAACACAGGAGGTTGGCAGGAATCAGTGATGCTGTGAAAGCAGAAGTAGGAAACAGGATCTGAAAGTTCTTGAATCAGTTGTCAAGGCACAAAAACAAGGTCAAACACAGAAAGGCAGAGTGAGGCTAACAAATCCAGGAGTTTGGCAGGAGGCAGCAGTTAGGAGGCAGAAACAAGGTTAAAATCAGGCAGGCAAGGCAGAAATTCATTACATTTATTCACACAACAGCTTTTGATAATCTGCTACTGTTTGTCAGCCAGAGAGCAGCTTATATAGCCAGGTCGACAGGTGGAGTGCATGAGGCATGATTAGGGTGTAAGCAGGGGAGAGCAGGTGGGAACAATTATCTAAATTTCTAGAGCACAGAGAGGATATGAGCAGACAGAGGAGGTAGAAAAAAAACAAGTCAGAATCAAAACAGTACCTGTATCTCTAGCAGTGCTCAGATGAAATGTTGGTGTTGTTTGTAAGGCAAATGGATGCATGAAAAAATAAACCTAAGGAAAACCTACAATAGCCTTTGTGTTTTTCTTACACTTTTGGATTCATTGGTATTCAACATCAGTTATAGAACTGAAAAAAAAACTTTAATGAGATAACCAAAAAACTCATACTGAAGAAAGAATATTTACTTTTTAGCATAAAATCCATTTATCCACCCATCTTGTTCCACTTCTCTATCTGGGTGGAACTGGTGCCTAGTTCAAGTAGTCTGCGGGTAAAAGGCGGGGTACACCCTGGACAGGTCGCCAGTCTGTTGCATTATTATAAAAGCTAATAAACAAATAGATAAATACTATTTCTAAAAATTAGGACACTGTGCCACTCTTCTTAAAGGAGTAATAAGTGAGCTTTTACCACTAGGTGCTCTGTCTGCAGATATATATTTGATACAACTTTCAATCAAGCTCAAGAACATGACACAAGAGATAATTTGGTTATATAAGTTAATAATTACAATGTTAGGAAAAAGAAGAAGATGATCAACTCCTCCCATTAAATTCAGACTAACTACACATTATGAACTTGTACTTACTGTATACTCCTCATCTTGTGCTGAGATTGGTTCTTGGGGGGAGCAGTCTCAGTAAAGATTCCAAGACCTCCCTCTCCCCAGACACCTCCTCCAGCTCTGCGGGGGGAAGCCTCTTTGATGCTTCTCGGACCAATGCACACATACAGACCTAACCAGAGGAAAATGTACAGTTTGTATGTGACTACGGTTGTTTCCATCCCTTTTTAGGTGTTTTACAGCACTGAGGTTAAATGCAACTCAATCTAGGTGGATTGTCAAGCACTTTCACACAGCGTTCATTTTTATATATTGTGAGTTTGCCTTGAAAATTGTACGGGAGTTTTTTTTTTTGTGCATAGACATGATTTGTACATGAGGCACCAGAACATCCACAAAACCCTTTGGAGAGATTGCTCTTAAATTATTTGGAAATCAAAACAGATGGCATGTTAGGGTTCAATATGGCTTAATTAGCAAATAACTCAATACCAGCTGTTAAGACTGGAGATAGAACCATAAGGTTTTGTGGACCCTTTACTACAGGAACATGACTTACACGTCATGACTTTTATAGAATATCAGAGGTAGCTTGAAAAAATGCTAGAAGATTTGTGAAATACTGCTGCCAAATTGGACCCTACTACATGACACATGTTGCAATTAGAGTTGCATGATATTAGAAACCTCCCAAAGACAATATTGGGATGACTATATTAGTTGGGATATTTGTCCGTTTCGTCTCTCCTCTCTTTCCCATCCTACACTCTGGGACATTTAGCTTTTTAGGTAATGTAACTTGTCTTTGGTGTGATCCTCTGCTGCCATGAGATTCTGATCAGTCTGCTTAATATCACATATTTAAAATACACTTTTAGAAAAATAAAACAAATCAGCCAACAATTTTGCCTCTTCAATACACCTTTGCTGCAGGAATATTGGACAAGCTGATATCGGGATGATGATATTTTTACCTGGAGAGACTCACACAGAAAAAACATGAAATTGGAAAAGTTTTTTTGGCATGAATTATTTGGCTCTCAGACTCCAGCACAAAACTTTTATACTGTTAAATTAAATTCGGTTGAATGAGTAACTTAGGAAAAGGGTTAGAGTAATCTTCCCCCAGGGAGCTGGACGCTGGTGTTGGAATAAACCAGAGGATAAGTGGGAATAATGACCTGAGACTGAGAAAGGAAATGGGATGCAGTGGGTGAAATTTCATATGGAATGCAGGAGGGAAGCTGGGCCAGAAGCTAAATGAAGGGGTTCTTGAATAATGATTGGCTTCTTAGAGAGGTGTGGTCACCACATTAATTGGGTGGAGCTTGAAAACGCCACGTCTGCAGGTGGTCCAGGTGAGGCAGTGAGTTCTGCAGGTTAATGACTTGATGGAATCAATTTCCTTTTCTAAGAAAATGTAACGAAACTTAGTGTAGTTATTAAATTTAAACTGTAAAGGGCCTTTAGATTACTTATGTTGTTAACTGGTGCTATGCAAATAAACTGCACTAAATGTAAATTGATACATTCCTAAGATTTACATTGTGGATTTGCAGGGTAAGTCAGAATCTTCTCTTTTCTATTCTGAATTATTTTTGAGGGATTTTCCTGGTAAGTTAACCAAATTTAGACCTGTAAAAATAGCTACTTTTAATCAATTAATAAAAAACCTTTAAAAAGCATTTAGTATTCTTAGTTAAATTATCTTTAAGACTTAGCTTCATACTTAATAATCCAAATAAATCAAGTTAAATTAAACTGAAAAGTCAAAACAATCACCCTTCTGCATTTAAATTATAACAACACTTTGTTTCTGTTTATTTATATAATATTCTTCTGATACTAAAGATGTATTTAGAGCTAAAATGTCATTTGAATGCAACATGGAGGTCCTTAATGACCAGCAAGACCAAGCATTCTCGATAAACCTTTACTGTACACAAGAGTATCAGTTTCAGATTTTACAGATATGCTTTCTTTTAATGTGAATGTATAATACATTTATAAAAGAAAAATAGGCAATAATTAACAATGCAGACATGACAGATAGACAGTCACAAACTGCCTCCTGCCAGAATCCAACTTGGACTGTTGGACTGTTTTTTTTTTTTTCTTCTGTTTTCTATCTTTCTATTAGGTGGAGCGTTCATTCAGTTTATTCTTTTTGTCATGTTTGCTCACATTTTTCTTTTTATTTTGTGAGTTTTTAAACACGCCATCATCTGTCCGTGGATAGCCTCCCTCCATCTCTTCTTCTGCAGGCTCCACTCATACTCCCCCTTCTCTTCCTGCAATCCTACAATAACATAGACAGAGGCCTCAGTAAGTACTGTTTTCGTGGCTGGCAGTAGGACCCTCCCCATAACCAAACAGGAGCCAAGCTCATTTTACCTCCAGCCTGTCCAAACTGGACCAGTTAAGGCCAGAAAAGTAAAAAATACAGCACTTGATAAAAGGCCAACTGGCTCCAACAACTCTGAATCTTATATTTACGGACCTCACAGATGATGCAGTTTAATTATTAGGAAACTAAAAAGATGAAGTGTCTGAGATGAACTGATACAGGTTAAATTAATAGTTGCAAAATTCTATAAAGCTGACAGAGAGATACACTTTACTGTTTTAAAAAAATGCAAGTTTATTAACGCTTATCACATATATATCAAACAGTTGGTCAAATACTTTAGTCCAGGGAGGTAGAAAAAGACTTTCATGGGATTAAATAAAAACGATTATCTTTTCAGAATAGGTGTTTTCCATAAAGGGATGCTTTAATATTGAGCAAATTGGAGATTATATTACATCCATTGCTATTGTCTGATCTAAGTCAGCTTTCTAATTACAATCTAATTCTGATGAAGGTCTGATGTTTGCATTAATTTGCAGATTATATGGAAATGCAGAGGGAAGTTGAGTTGGAAGTTCTTATGGTTTGCTGAGGAGTAAAATTAAAACCAATAATTTAGCACATAATTTTTCATTCCAAAAAGTTTGTGATAGTTTTGCAAACACTGAGCATCAAAGATAAAAAAAAAGACTTTAATTCAAGTAAGATAAATTAATAACAAACGTTTTAATGTTATTAAAGAGCAGTGAAACAAATTCAAAGCTAAATAAACACAGGAATTGTCAGGAGGCAGTTCTATTCAGTTTCTGTCTAGTGAGCTTCATTAGGGTGATTTCTATGGGGGAAAATCCACTTTCTACAACACGCTGACAAAATGATTTAACTCACAGACAGATTCATATATCACATAAACTTGTTCCTCCTACATCACTCTTTGTGGTATTTTACACCAGAATTACAAATCAAGATAAATGTCATGTAAACATTTTAGTCTGATCAATGTTGAAAACTCACTATAAAAACAAATGTTTTTCAGAAACTTCAGTCTTTATGTAGTTTTATTTTCCTTATTTAGTAATTATTAAAAAGAAAATCCCAAAATGCATTTAAAAAATCTTGCTACAGTTGAATGGTTACAGTTTGCTTCACGGTTATTGCTTTAACAGTGTTTCCCATGCCAATATGGCAAAAATAACACTAATGAAAGGAAAACAAGGATTAACAGAAAAGCAGATCCATGCCAACAGAATACAAATATACTTAAATATAAAGAACTGTTGTGCAAAGGTGTGAAATCTGCATCATGTAATTCGCAAAACAGTTGTTAGAAGCTTAATAACAGAGGAAATGAATGAGTGCTTTAGTCTGGAGCCCCTCTATCACACATTTCAGTATCTCTCCTTGGAGGTGAGAGGTATAATGAGCACATCCTAATGGTGGGTGGGTTTGGCAGCAGCTCCTCTGTGGACTCCTGAGTGGTAGATTCTCAGTGTGTGAGAAATTTTCCTTAAAAGGGAAGAATTTCAACAAAAAGAGATCATATACATCAAGCATTCATCTTTTGTTTTCTTTTAATAAAGGAAGATTTCCAAACAAATATGCATATGTCTCTATCAAGTTATACTGGTGGAAAGATGCTGCTGGAAACAAAAAGGTGAGAAGCCATGTATATACATGAAAAACCTCCAAACTCCAGCAGAGATTTAAAACCAAACCCTTTAAAAAGAATAACCAGAAATATGTCATGGATAGTGTAAAAAATGTATTTTGATTTCCAGGTTAAGGAAAAAATGCAAAACAAAAACAACCAAAATAGTAACCACAAAAACCTTCATCTACACCAAGGTCCTTTCTAGCTTTGTTATTTGGGGGAATAACAATACTATGTCAAAAAAAAAAAAAAAACATGATTACAAAAACAAACTGTGGGAGTTCATACAACAATCCAGATCTATGAGTCTATAACATCAAACCCTGATTAAACTTAATTTAACCATAGAAATGACTCACAAAGCACAAGAGGGACAAAGAAAGAAAATGCTTGCAGGATAGCTTCTCATGCTGCAGTGTTATATCAGGTTATGATCAGAGTCAAAACCTAATATTGGTTTGAAAGAACAGAGCATCATGCAGCGGTAGGGGGTATCATATGGCTATAACAACTGGGTCACTGTGTCCTCATCAGTGTTTTATCATTTAAAAAAATCAAAAGAAATCATTGGTTTTTAAGTGAAGGTATGGATTTTTACATTGCTGAAACAGCTCTGTAAATATGGTCTTAATTCAAACTGTCGATTATGCTGTAAAATGTTTAAAAATATGCACCCCGTTGCCTCAAATATTCTGGGAGAGTGGAAGAAAAAGCAAACATTTCCGAAACCAAAGACCTTCAAAGTCACCAACTTATCTACCTGAGTTGGAACATTCAGTACCTCCTTTTACACGTGTTTTCTTTTATAAAGTCAGACATTTACATACAGTAAAATGAGTTAGAAATAATTTTTAAAAAAGCAAACACGATGATGTCATGGTTTGTAAGCTTCTGATTGGTTAACCAATATCAGTTGAGGTAACTGCAGTCAATGGTTCACATGCTTTTCCAGCTCTTACTCCTCGTTAGGTTTGAAAAATTAATGAACGCTGCCCCTCATGGAGAGCATTGTTTTATTTGTAGAAAGACATTACATAGAGTTTGACTAAATTGCTCTAAGAATTTTCAGGTATGTGACAAAGTGAATCGCATCCTTTTCTTATTGTCTAAGATATTAATGAGGAATAAGAGCAGGAAAAAACTAAAA